ACATAACTGACAATAACAACAGTCTCAGATTTTTTTTAATCCAAGTTACTTAAAATAATTTAGCTATGGTACGAATTTGCTGTGTTATTAAATGTAATGTCCGATCACACGACTGAAACGGTAAAAAGATGGAAAACGGACTTTCGTTTCACTATTTTCCTGCTTGGAAACAACGCGAGGAGGCTAAGCTATCAGAGCTAACTAAAAGAAAACATGGTCATCTTCTCCAACATCCCCAGATACCTACAAGTTTCCTCCAGACATTTCCATTCTGGAGGGCGTCTTAACTCGCTTTGTTAGTGTTGGGGTTTTAATTAAATTTTTGCTTTGATTTTGTCCGGGTGTTCTGTTTCTGTTGAGTTCATTTAAGTGGGTCAACCTTGTTTAGGTCGGGCTTATATTGTTTATGTAGCATAGTCCGAGTTTTGTCAGTGGACATCGAGGTTCTTACATTATTGTGAAGTAAACTATTTTACTAGTGTTATCAGATTTACAGTATTAATACTGATGTGTGTTCTGATATGTCCTCTTCAAGGCAAACCGACGTGTGAAATGGATGAGCTCAATCCTGACTGGGGTCCAGCGCTGAATATGGGTCAGTGAGGTAAACGCCACAACGTCGGACCGACAGGCGCGTCAATTAAAGAGGCGATACAGCAAAACCATCAACAGGTTAGAGACTGTTTTCATTATTTACCCCAGAAGAGGTAAATAATGAAAACAGAGTAAGGCAACAGAAGAGGAGCAAGTTGGAGAGGCTGAGGAGGAAGAAACCAGGAGAGGAGCTCAGCAAGGCTGCAGACTCTGAAGAGGAACAGGAACCATTTGTGTTGAAATACAGTTGGAAGTGGCTGTTCTCTCATTTAATAATTTAATGTTGTAAACATTCATGAATCGTTTGATTCAAGCACTTCAAGTTGCATGTAAACAGGTGAAGAAATGAATCACATTTTAAGTTCAAATTTGATATTTAAAATATTTCAGGTAATAAACATACACGTAATGAAAGATTATATTTTTAAATATTTTATTTGATTAAACAATTATATAATCATACATCTGTTTGTTACATTTAATGTAACAACCAAACTGTCAGGACTTTGGGTTTCTGGGTTTGTTTTGCTTTATTTTGTTCATTAAAATAACATCTTCATAAAGTACGGCCACCGCCACATCATGACACAAACCAGATGAAAGAGCCCATCTTTAAACATTTAATGTGTAATTAAACAATAAAGGTGACAAATGTTATGAAATAGACCACACTTTAATAAATATTTGTTGTATTTAACATATTCCAGGTAAGTAAACATGTAATGAAATAGATCCAGATCTAAAATTTTATGTAATTGAACATTACAGGGAACAAATGTGATGATTGCCTGAGGTAATACATTTTATGAACTTTAAAAAAAAATTCTAAATATAATTTTGGTTAAATAAAAAAGGGGTCAAAATGGAATTAAAATTTGTCTCATCTATATAGTTTAGTTTTCACAGATTTTTAGTTAATAGGCCTAGAAGCTACTGAAGAAAAATACTAAATTTTCACTACAGAAATAGCTAAAATATAAAAAGTATTCAAATGTTTTTAAGATGACTGTGCCTCATCTATACACAGAGGCGCAAAAAGTGGGTATGCAGCGTATGCAACGCATAGGGGCGCAGCACCAGAGGGGGCGCCAAAACCCCGTCTGGAGGGGGCGACGCGCCGATGATGTTTTCCCATACACTTCAGCGCCTCACGCTCCTTCGCCTCTCGCACATAACGAGGTACATGTAGCGAGTTTTACACTCCACGTATGAATTACCACTTTTTTGTATCAGTTGGTCACAAGACAAAGCATTTATTTACAGGAGTGTTCGGACATTGACGGTCGCTATGTGAACCTCCAAGCGCTTCAGGAGGGACCAGTAAAGAACAGCTGGCCGAAATTAGCGTTCATAAATCGGATCAACCTTGAGCTGAACGTCCCTTACTCCGCGGAGGGAGAATCTCCAGTATCCAACTTGAAAACAACTCCACTGCGGTCAGTAACACAAAGAAAACACCGATTAGTTCTGACTAGTTTGTTTTGGTCTGTGGCCACCAAAGATGGCGCAGAGCGACGTATACGTTGGTTCCAAAGCTCTATTTTGGATATTTCAAATGTCTTCCAGTTTGTGATGGCTGCCGTTCCAGCCACACAAACATCCAATCACAACGCACACAATAGTTCAGTCTCTCCACACTTGTATTTTGTTTTTTTAAATACTGGATTTAATTTAAAGAGTAACTGGTTTTTGTTTAAATGCAACACATCATTTAACACTGGAATAAGTGCACACATTTTCATTTACACTGTTTGCTTGATTTGAGTTGCCTCAGTGCTGCTGCAAAGGACCAAAGAAGTGGCCAGCTCTAGTGGCCTTTATTTGATAGTTAATTGACAGGAAAGTGGGTAGAGAGAGAAGGGGAAGACATGCAGCAAAGGTGGGAATTAAACCTGCGACAGCTGCATCGAGGACTGAGGCCTCCATATGTGGGTTGTGCTGAACCGCTGCGCCACCACAGCCCAGGATGGGAGTTTCTTATGTTGTGGTGTTTTCTCCCCTTTGTGTCTCCTATGCTGCCTGGTCAGCCAGTATTTCAGTTCCCCTTTGTCTCACTTAGAGAGGTCTGTCTGTTTGAGTTGAATTCTGTTACTTTGACGTCTTTTATGGGCCCAACTTTGTCACGTTTCTGTTTTGGGTTAAATAAAAACAATTCTTTTTAACATTAAAATTAAACCTGTGCATGACTCTCTTTTTACTGCTCGGTCCGTCACACAGTTCCAGTGTTTAATGTTCATTACAATTTGAAGTTTATTTTGACATAACCATTATATTTCTTTAAAACGGTCTCAAAACAACAACATTAGCGTTTATTGGAATAACCTCTGGGACGATTTATTGTAGCATCGGTTATGGTGACCGGCCCAGAAACGGAAAATAACCCAGACTGGAAAGAAGCAGGAAGCCCAAGTCGCTTCATGAAGGAGATACCCTGATGCTCCACGGTTTCCATGGTTTCCATGGTTTCCATGGTTTCTCAACAGTCGTTCATGTAAACAGATTCAGCACCTCTCTTCTCTGAACTCACTCTGACCCAGCAGCCAATCAGGGAGAAGAAGCCAGCGGTCCTGAATGTATCCTGAAGCAGCGGCGGGCCCCATGTGGGCGGCGGGCCCCATGTGAGGAAGAGTCCTGACTCCATCGTGAGTCATCCTCACCACGAGGCTGCTGCTTCCTCTCCTGTGACTCTCAGTCACTGCTCGCTAAAATGAATGCGGCTGCCCCGAGTGATGTCATCATCAAACGCCGTCATCTGATGGCCGCCAATCAGAACTCCAGTTCCTCCAGCTGCTGGGTCCTCCACGCTCTAAGGGAACTCACCGTTTCTGCAGTTTTTCAGTTTTCTGGAAGTTTGTTCCAGGTCTGTGGAACATAGAAGCTGGATGTTTGGTTCCCTCTAAAGGAAGTCATCGCTGCTTTTCTGCTGAGAAAGATTTGAGTTTCCTCTGCAGGTTATCCTGATGGGTGGGGCTTAGATGCTGACAGGTGGTCACCTGACCCACAGCTGGCCAGGTGACCAACCCACAGCAGGAATCCTTCATGTTTTTTTCCATCTCTGCTGAGTCGGCGTTTTCACTCAGAGCCTGCAGGCCACGCCCCCTTCCCTCTCTCTCCCCCTCTCGCTCGGCCTCACCTACGCAGGGTGGTTCTGACCCGGTTCTGCGGGTTTGGCAGGGCGGCGTGTTTTTCTGCTCTGTGGTTGAGGAGGAACGAGGCAAATGAACCTCCAGCGCGCCGAGTCATCAATCAGCACAAACTGTCACCTAAATCATGGGACGAGTCATCATGGGGGGGCAGGCGGGCCGCGTGTGTGTGTGTGTGTGTGTGTGTGTGTGTGTGTGTGTGTGTGTGTGTCATCAGGGGAAGTAAATAAAATCCTGCAGGGTGAGATTGTTTAGTTTCATGCTGCTCACTTTTTAAAGGTCACTTAGTTCAAACCAGAACCGGTTCTGATGGTTTAAGGTTCTGATGGTTTAAGGTTCTGATGGTTTGGGGTTCTGTTTGCTCCTGGCTCAGCTCTTCCTGCTGATGGATTCTGAGTTCAGAGTAAAGATCTTGAACTGACTGAATTCATTTTTATTCTCTAGATAGAAAAACTGCAGCTGATAAATTCAGAAATTCACACAGAACCACATTTACTTTGATCCAGAACCACAGAAACAAACTAAATGTCACCAAGAAACTGAATCTATTTGAACTTGAATCTTCAGAGACCTCCAAACTTTCTCTGCCGTTTCAGTTGGTTCAGTGAAGCCCAGGAGGTTCTGGCCAGCCGGGAACCGGCTGGTTCCCGGCCCTCAGCCGGCTCCAGTAATCTGTCCTCAGCTACCCTTCAACAGGCATTTAATCACAATTTTTGGTTGCATTTCAACAGAAAACTTCAAACAGCTGAGCAATGCTGGACTTTGGAGCCTTAATTCCCAGTTTAGAAACGATGACGTCACGGCCCCGAGGCCCCCGGGGCCCGCCTGAACTGGGTCTGGACTCCAGCTGGCACAGGCGCTGAGCGGTAAGAGCATTAAGGTCTTTAGGTGTTCCAGGCTGGAGAATTAAGACAGGAACTCACTGGGACAGAGCAGGGATGCATGCTAGTTAGCCGTTAGCTGTTAGATGTTAGCTGTTAGCCGTTAGCTGTTAGCCGTTAGATGTTAGACGTTAGCTGGCGGTGTGCTGTGACATCACCGTAGCCAGGAATCTGCTGGTGTTCATAAACTTTATAAATTCTTAATGACTTTTCCCACACTTATGTAAATATGTTGTTTGGATTCTTCTATTATTCCACTAATAAAACAAAACAGTTTTATATTATTAACCTAATTATATTAGTTGCAAAATATCATACATAAATCTAAATTCTCAAATCAAAAACCTTGCTTTTCAGCCTTTAAAGAGGAATTCAAATAATATATTTGTGGCAGTATGCCCTGTAGCCTTTGAACGCACCACACAAGTGCCTGAATCTAATTGGTTGTGGCGCCGGCTGCCTGTATATAAAGGGCCCTCCCTCACCTGGTTGACATCACGTTGTTTTCCTTCCGGTTCAGACCTCGGCATTTGTTGGTGCTGCACGCTAGGTAAGGCAGGCTTCATCTCTCTCAGTCAATTATTACTTGTGATTTATTTCCATTTTCTGTATAACTGCCGCAAATTAATACGCGCTCAAAACGGTGCGCTTAACGACGCTCTGATCGCCGATCCATCGTCCTTGTGGTAAGAATCTTCCCACACTTGACGTTTGTTAGCTTAGCTTTAGCTCAGCTTCTGTTGCATATCCATGCTGCCTGTACAAGCTCCCTGTTTCCTCCTTCCTGTAAGAGCTCAGTGGGAAGTGAAGTGCTGGAGTTTGGATGCTTTTAGATTCCATTTCTAACATTTATTTTTGATAGCCGCTGCTGTTTGTCCTTGGCCTGCTGTTTGCCTGCTGTTCTGGTTGCCCCGACTGGCGGTCCGCCT